GCCGAATTTTTTGTTTGACTCAGTAACCGGATCCTGCCCTGCAGAAATGAAGGCTGAGCTGGTTAATCAGGAGGGACCACTGCAGACATTTGCATCTTCATCCAGCTCAGACGAGCTTTCACAGCAAAAGACAGTAGATGTCGTAGACGAAACTCAAACGGAGCACCTGGCTGGCATATCTGCTGATGATACAGAAGCAGCTGAGGCTAGTAATAAGGCAACCGAGGCAAGCCTTTTGAAGATATTTTCATGACTCTTCATCTGCTTCTTTAAATATATATATATTTTACGATTTAGTCACTCTTTAGGTGGTTCCCTGAATATTATGTATTCCACACAAACTAGCATAAATTGGCAGAGAATTGTCAATATATATATATATGTGTGTGTGCGTGTTTATATTTATATTAGGCATTGAAACTATCCCTAAATCTTATATAATAGTTCCAAGATGTGTTTCTTGTTGATAGTGTTGATAATGCTCTGACGCAAGATCTGCCCCGGCTCTTTCACTAGATCTGCAGAGATTACCTTATTCTTTTCAAACTGATGAGCGAAAATGCAATGAGTGACTTAATGTCCTTAAGATTTATTTGAAAAATTATCATTTTATGAGATTAAATATTAGAGCAGATATCACTAATATTATTAAGAATTAAAATGTCTCTTCACAAACTTTTTCGTTTAGTGAAGCATTTAATTCGTTTATTAACCTTTCTTGATCTCTGTTCATTGTCGTTATTGATGTCTGTTAGATTGGGATATTAGTAAGCTAATCTTTGAAGAATTCAGTTGGATTATCTCTATGTTGAACTATTTTTGACTATATTTCCTCGTTTTATCTGACTATTTTTCGCCATTTTTTGTTCATCCATCGGTTCTCAGGAGCTTCTTCGTCAGAATCGGTTAGCTCAACGACAAAGACAGCTTCAGCGCTGGGACAAATGTGGCACAGCTGATCGCTGTCAGCCACATATTGCCTATGCTATGCAGTCGGTCGTCTACTTCTCCAGTCTTGAACAGGTGACTAGCTAATCTAAACCCCTTTTTTAAAACACACACACCTTGAAGATACGGCGTGAAAAAGTGTCACTATCACTTACTAACAGTTAAGCATAGATTAATTTGCAATCAGCTTTGATTCTCATGCTGAATATTTTGTGGTTCATTTTACTATCCTGCCAGGTTGCTCTCCTCCGTCGACATCTCAGTCTCCGCTGGGAACCCATACTCTGTCGGCGTCTGGATCAGCTGATCCCACGATTGCGTACAGAAATGGCTATTACGGCCAACTTGACCCAAATCGGGTGCCATCGATTTTCGGCTCAGCTTTCTGCCTCTTTTATAAACGATGCTTATCTGCCCCAGCCTGTACCCATGCTCCTGATAGAAGCTGGTATGAAATGTGGAATTTTGGTTGCCCTTTACATGAACAATAATGTAAAAATAACAACATTTTTGGTTTAGTCCTGTCGAATATTCGCATGCACTTCTCATGATCATTTGTCATATTGAGCATAAGTAACATTAATCCAGTTAAGTGTTTACTTCTTATCTTATAAACTCTTTGTCAAACATCACCCTGAACTCACTTTAGATGACTGTATATTAATCTAGGTTTTACCTCATAATGGATACATTACGGTGATTGGCATGCTTTTCTTGCTTTTTTTGCAGAAGTAATTCTCCAAATCCCCACAAATGCTCCTAAAATTCAAAATTATATTGCTTGGTTTTATTTATTAAATTAATCCATTGTGGGATGAATTTAGTCTATATGACAAAATTCGGTCACGTTAATCGACCCAAAGTAGATAATTAATTCTAGCAGTTTTATTAAGCATGTTTTTAATCTCTATGACTTATTATTCATGTAATAGGATTAAGCTTCTTTTGTCATGTTTACCAAAAATCCTTGTTTTTGGTTAAATCTTTATTTATCCTCTATTCCTTAATCTCAGACATCTCATGTTGTCTCTCAAATTCCATTATTAATGAAATGATGTCACTTCCTTTTATGTATTGCTAGTTAAGCAAGGTATCCCATTGTGCTACTTTGTACCTCTTTAACCCATATTTCGCTTGATTCAATTATAATTATTTATAATATTGACATACTCTTTGTAGAATATTCAAAAAGTGAGTTGGAGAAACTCGTCGACAAGACACGAAATTACAGAAGCCGAGGTTCGGACAATTCTGCAAATCTCAAGGCATGCTCAGATTCAGAAAGCAAAGTTAGTTTGATGCTAAATATTAGTATTAAAAATAAACGTACACCTTTATTTGTCCTTATCTGACATACTTAAATTTTGTGCTAAATCAAAAAACCGCTTGAGATTGACTTTGGAATTATATCTAGTCTAATTGCTCTGACTGTTTTTTTACTTTACTATCACTGTGACTTACGAGGAAAGTGTATCTAATCTGAGTGGCTACGAGTGATACAGTATTTTCAATTTTGAAGGCTTTTTCGCTTAATCACTGAATACTTAAATATATATCTTAGATAAGCCCCAAGTGTATGTTTCATACTAGCTCCAGCCGAAAGCTCTTCTGCAAGGTCGTCCGGAACAGGAGAGCCTAGTAAGGCAAGAAGCGTGTTATTCTTTGGAGAAGAACCTGCATACAAATTGTAGAAATCAGCCTTAAGAGTAATCATTGCAGTGTGTTATAGAGGCGAAGTATTTACTTAAAAACTTTCTGGCGGAATGTAGATAAGACGACCAAAGTGTTGTGGCCTCTATTTTGGTCCCTGCAAAGCGTCTAGGAGTGTAGCAAATTGACGGTTCAACACTAAGAATTACCATAATAACAATAGCATATGACTTCGTCAAGGTGTGTTCAACTAGGCCGCCCTGACAACAAGATCAAGTTGCGAAAACGAAGTCAGACCATTTCTGGCAAAACGTTGAGTTAACAATTACTATAAAAAGACGATATGGGGACAAAATATTCCTTTTTCGATCTTTTTCTCAAAGGTTTACTTATCATCATAATGGTTTGTGTCTAATGTTTGCGTGCTTTTTTTAGTGGATATGTATTTAATAATAAATAAAAATAATAATATATAAATTATCGAAGCTAACAATAACAAAATGAAATTATGTTAGCTCGTTTTTTTGCGAATGGGGATAAAGGGGCTATAGCCATAACTGCACAAAGCACATAAACTGAAATAAATAAATAGAAGGGTTAAGATTAAAGTGGAATCAAGCTTTTAGAGAAGAAAAAATATACTTCAGCCTTAGGAAGAGTATTGGGAGGATAAGCCATCCTTGGTACATCCTAGAATGCTCTTCGCTGCCAATATGAGAATGTTACTCAATTAATATGATTACATTAAATCAACAGGCCTCTGAAATTGTAGGACAAGGACATTTGGATTTTTATACATCTTTAAAATTGGTGGACTAAAGTTTAATTATAAATATGGTCATGTATATTAAGATCTAGGGGGTGTGCCAAATACTGTGTAGGTTTTCCGAATATCCACTTGCTATGTCAAATCTCTACAGATCCTCGTATTTTCTGAATGAAAATATATATAATAAATATGGACAAAGTACTTATTTTTTACATTACATATGTATTTGCTTTGAGCACTTGCTATTTATCAGAATAATAGTTTGCCCACAAGCTTGGCTGCCGAATGTGATCTGACTTGGTATAAC